TGCTGTCACATGAGCCAAGGTGTGAAAAAAGGTGTATGTCGTTACACCAGAGGGTTTGGGTGAAACCTCTGTGACACCTTGCCTCACCCTATCATACGACATATTAAAGTCATGCTATTATTATTACTATTTAGCAGCAAATTAATAATTACACGTTTCAAGAGAATTCATTGTAACTCTTCCCTCTTTTACTTTCTTAGATGAGAAGAACCCATGTCATTTACCCCAGGCTCCCGGTCCCTGTCGAGGGCTCGTGTCACGCTTCTTCTTTGACAGCTCGAGTCAGGAGTGCAAGCAGTTCTATTATGGAGGATGTTTTGGCAATGCCAACAATTTCAGGACCATGGCTGAGTGTCAGGCAAAATGTCTAAATCCAGGTAGGGATGCACTTGTATTCACTAATGCAGTTCACTGACTGTTGTTTTGAAGCGTTCTCTGATTTCTTCCATAGTCATATCTGCTTTTGATAAAGTCCTACATGAGGACCCAAAGATCACAGCCTTTCATTACAGCTTAATGGTCTTTATCCTTTGTATACAGAGAGTTCTCTAATCTTTTCATAATGTTAGAATCTGTAAAATTACATGTAAAGAAACATTATTTCTCTCCCTCACAGAGTGTGGAATCCTTTATTTTCTTTACTTTAACAATCATTTTCTTTTGAAAGGTTCCGCTGGCACCAAATTGTATATCAGCACATTATTTTCAGCATGTTATATGTTGTCTTTGTACCGATTTTGATTAAACATATGGTTTGAATAACTTGCAAATCATTTGGATTTTGTGTATATTTTACACACAATAGCTTTCTTTTATTGGAAACATGGCCAGTGGCTGTGCATCAACAGAAAACCCATTTCAGGGAGGTGACATAATCAAAATAATTCTACCTCTGAAAATTAACTTTGTGATGACTTTTAGCTGACCGTGAAATCACATTCCACCTTGATTTAGCATTTAAAGGGTTTTAAAGTGACCAAAGCATACTCAATTATACCAGACTTTAGGCATAAGTCATTTAGATATTGAAATTTTGAGGAAAATAACAAGCAAGTCGCTCGGCTGTGACCAGTTCTTGCCAAAAGACCATGTTGTAGAGAGAATCGATTTTAATTCCACACAGACAAATGTTTAGTTTCATTTATAGACAAAATGTTTGCAAACCAACACCTTTTCCCAGCTGATGCTAATGGAATTAGAATGTTCCAACTATAGTAGGTCTTGATGCTCAATCATCCAGGGAAAAAAAATCCCCAAAGGTTGATTCTGTTCATCTGGATGTAGTGTTTTCAGGAGGAGAAACATCATGTCCAGATGAACAGAATCAACTTTTTGAGATAAATACAGCAGGACTGATGTTCTGTGGATGGCAGTCGAGACACATGTTCTCAGATGTTGCTTTTCTCTTTTGTCCGTGTCAATATTGTGAACCCAACCACAGCACCAGAATCTCCTTCTCCAAGAAAAGACGATGTTCAGCCAATCATCGAGACTGGTAAAGATGACTGTACACTACACTCTGCCTATATCTTCTTCTTCTTTCACCTGTTCCCTTTTAGTGTCATCACATCAGGTCATCTTCCTCCATCTCACCCTATCCCTAGCATCCTCCTCTGCCACACCAGCCTTCTGCATGTCCTCCTTTACCACATCCTTGAATCCTCTTTGTGGTATTCCTCTTCTCCTCCTGCCTGGCAGCTTCAGTATATCCACTATCTCCCACCTGCACATATATTCAAACCATCTCAACGTTGCCTCTCTCTGTAATATTCTGTGTCTTAAGTAACTGATAAATATAATTATTACTGATGGCATCATTCCCCTTGCAACTGGGGTTTAAAAAACAAAAGAAAACGGTAAAAACCAGAATGAGATGGGCGATTGATGGAGGCATTCAGCCTATGTTGGCATGACTGGAAGCAGAAGGAAACAACATGTCCAAAAATCAGTAAATACTGCACAGATGGACAAATTGCTATTTAGTAATAAGTAGTTACATATGCATGTCATTAGTTAATTAAAGCTTTAGAGTACCAATTTTTTTAATTTTATAAAGACGCAAGTAAGCTAATTCCAGTCTTTATGTAATTACTTTCCTGTTGCAATTCTCTGTTTTATGCACAGGTGCAAAATTTGCATTAATGATCACAACAGAGTCTAGCAAAGGGAGCAAATTTATTCACTGACTGATTGATGGCTTCCCATATTGTTGTATTTCAGGGGAACAAATTGCAAATGCACCTTTGGTGCAAGGGAATGACACAAATCCAGAGACAAACGGTAAGAAAATTCCACATTTTCAAGGAGAACACAATGAGAAATCTTGGCTGTAGCATTTAGAATTAAGGCTAATTTGATTTTATTCATGCAAATTGGTCGTTAGGTTACTATGCTTCATAACTCCATAAACACAGAGGCTACATTTCTGAGAACAGCCAGGATTTCACTGAATGTTAGTCCCATAAAGCCTGCTGTGTAGCTGATTTCACTTTTGGAGTAAAGTTGATCAGTGAGAAAACTGTGAAAAGCTCTGCGACTAAGATACAGTCAGACAATGAAGCACAAAGCTAGAAGCAGTACACATAGTTTTCATTTATTACACAGAGTATTAGACACGTGGGATAGATTAATGGTCACAAGGCATGATTAAATCACTCATCTTGTCCTCAGAGTCATTGTTGAATTCTGAAATGTGCTCAGACCTGAAAGTAAGCAACTCCAGGCCATTTGTTAACTAGAGCAGTTTGTGCTGCCAAAAACGTTTTTGTTATAAAAAGAAGAAAAGAAATTGTCAAGGTGCAGTGATGCATAGATGGTAGACAGCTTGCATGCTTTTGTTGTGAAAAGCAAAGGGCAGAAACAGAGTGCATCAGTGTCCTCTTCCCACAACTCGTTTGTTACTTTCCCACTCACTAATTTTCGGTGTATTCGCAGTGTGGGAGCATAAATCACAGCTGTCCTGTTGCAAGGCTGTTTTGTACAGCTTGCAGGAAAGAACTGGGAGACCCTGGCTCGTCTCCCATCGCCCTCAACTCATTCAAAGAGTTATAATTCTAAGAATTCAATTTCACTGTTGTCAAAAATATTGAGTAGAAGAGATTCAGGATAGGTTGGCCTCTGTAGTTCCACCGTGGAATCAATCTTTTTCTTTTTGAGGGTAATTCTTTGATTTAAAAAAAAACAACAACAAAACAAAACAAAAAACCCAAAGATCTCGTTGATGTAATAAAGTGTCTCTGAGAAGTAAAGTTGGTATGAATGTTAACCTTCCTATGATTTCAATTCATTAATCAGGTCTTTAAAAGATAGATTTAGAAAGTAGGTTTTGGTGATATTTGATGTCACAGTTCACTACTACGATGAACCGAGTTCGACTCTCAAAGTTACAAAAGCCAGAAATGAGCATGAGAGAATGTGGTGTGCATGCTGACGTCTGTCTGCCAAGCAGATGTTGCCATGTTGAAATCAAAGAAATCAAATCAAAGACTGACATCTTGTGGCTGCTCAGTGAAGCACACACTTTGGCTCTGTGGAGCTCAGACTTTTTCAGGCATGAAACTGTTCTGGGCAGTTGCGCTGCCCAGAAAGTCGTTTAAATCATCTCATCAATAACAATAATAAAAAAAGGAATATAAACTTGAAATTTAGCTAAATAAAATAAAACACAATAGCATCATGAAAACCCTTTATATATTTGCCAGGTTGCCTGCACCCAGTTATGTGCCGTGACTAGTTATAGGAGCATGTTTATAAAAAGCAGCTGTAGAACTCACTGAATTATCTAATTAATTATTTTCATCAAAGAGAATTTGCAATGCAAACAGTGGCATGACTGGCATGAAACAACACTTTGGGCACCTCACAGCTGTGTATAAGAACTCAAAAGTCAGTTTGATGGGAGCTTAAATGAGCTTTAATCTGCCAGCTCCAGAATACAAAGTCTGCGTGATGTGTGTTTGTGCCCATGTGGACATATTGTTGCAGATAACTGATGAATTCATAGGCAGTGCGTGGGTGTCATTTGTGCTGTGTTTTGCACACTTCCAGGAGCATCTTTTGTGTCCTACATGTGAGAAAGGACAATATGAACAATGCCCTGACCCGGTTCTACCAACATGATCTATTTATGTGTGAGAACTTGTCATACTATATTTTGTTTGGAAGTTTAACACAGTGGTGGAATAATTCTTATATATTAACTGTTTGCCTAAAAGACTGAGGCTTTGTGGTGATTTAGGGGTTTGAATTCCTAGCCAGGTTTCAGACCCAGTGTCAGAAGTTCTTATTGTTAGGCTGATTTCATTACCAAGTGAGTGATTTTTGAGTATTAGCTCTGATTGTATTATTATTTATTGTATAGAATTATTGCTTTTTCGTGTGTTTAATTCTCTCGGTGTAAGCAATTCCAGGCCATTCTTATCCTCTATCTTGTCTTTCTGTTTATTCCTTTGTCCTGTAGTGTTCTCCTATATCCATCTTCATGCATAATGTGAGTCTCATCTCTGTGTTTAGGATAGGTCTTTGAGGTTTAAAGGTTATTATTATTATTATTATTATTATTATTAATAATAATAATAATAATGAATAATAATATTGTACGCTGAGATCCTTTTAATTTTGGTCTTACCTGACCCTGGATTCTCACCTGTGTTAACTGTGTCACCTATGCCTTGTTCCCCACCTGTGTGTGTATAAATAGTCCTGCCCCTGTGTATATATATTGTCTTTTGTCATTGTTTCCTGCAAGCCCTCCTGTGCTCTCTTGTGCTTCTGCAGTTGATTTCAGATTTTGGGCTTTGTTCATTTGCGATGTAGTTTCACCCTGAACAAAATCACTTTTTGTTGTTTATCCTGGATTTCTCTGCAGTGTGCCATTATTTTTTGTATCACGTCTATGATGTGACCTTAGCTGAGCCTAGCAAGCTAAATACTGAGATAAATGCTGAACTTTTAAGGTCACTGTTTGTCAGTGAAAATAAGTGTGCATCAGTAGTGAAAAAGAGTCATTGCTTATGGGTCTCCAGTCAGAATATGGAATATGGCCCTACTCTCACCCAGCAGAAAACTACAGAAAAAATCAAAGAGGATGGCTTACACAGCAACTTCCACTCTCAGAATCTGTTACTCCAAGACTCAGCCTGAATATGCCGGTCAAAATCAGTTTCAGGTGGATGAAGCCTAATGCAACAGTAACAAATACCTGTGGAGTTCAAAGCTAAGGTGGATGCAAACAGGAATCATTCATCTTCCTCACCTTTAGGATTGTGGTATCTTCAGCCTATGTCTTAGCTCTCTAATAAAACTAACATAGATCGAATTTAATCAAAGAATTATGTAACATTTTAAGGATGACATGAAATAAAGTTGGCTGTTTGCCGTTTCTTGTGATTAACAGACTTCACTCTTTCAGAGCTGTGCTTCAGACCTGTGGACAAGGGGACATGTAGTGGTTCAGAGAACAGATATGCATACATTCCAGAAAGAAAGCGATGCCAGGTATTTTCCTACAGCGGCTGTGGAGGGAATGAAAACAACTTCATAACCCGGAGACACTGCTTCCACAAATGCATCAGAAAGGGTAGGATTATTTTAAGAGATTCACTTTAATTCAATTCAGTTCAGTTTAGTTGATTTATATACTGCCAAATCACAACAGCAGTCGCCTGAAGGCACTTATGTTGGTAATAAACCTACAATAATACAAAGAAACAATCAAACATCCTCCTATGAGCAAGTACTTGGTGACAGTGGGAAGGAAAACCTCCCCTTTAACAGGAAGAAACCTCAAGCAGAACCAGGTTAAGACCCGGGATGATCAGAGGAAGACGGGACAATCTGGAACTGATCAGTTCCAAAGTTTGGCGTACCATGCTCATTCAGTTCATGCTCATTCAGTTCATTTCTTTTTAATTTGTTGTATTTAATTATTCCATTTGAATATGAAGACATTTTGTGGTTTATGTTGCAGGTCATGGGAAGAGGATGACGATCCGAGTAAGGAGGAAAAACTTACACAACATTCTTAATTACTCAAGAAGAACACTCGACTCTGTGTGAGATTCTACTCTGCTGTCAGCTGTATTTATGCCAATATATGTTTTGTTTGGGCTTTTTTTTTTTTTTTTTTTTAGCTTTATGCATGTTTTTTTTTTCTGCTCTGCAGCCAAGTCTGCCACGACCCCTTGACATCATTGGTCCTCTTAGCAATATGATTTTCTTGACTTGTTGAAACATGTTTATTCATCTCAGCAATAATTTGAGGTTTATGTCAACAAAAACTCTGTTAATTTTATTTTTGGTCAGACACATGAAAGTAGTGTTGTGCTGCACTTTGCAGTTTGGAGTCATTGTTTAGAATCTGCATCTAAATGATGTTCATTAAATGAGATCGTTAGAAGAAGAGACTGCGGGATCCCCCTGTGGTCTAGATACTGGTGGCGGTAGAGGAGAATAAGCAGATGATGATGACGCTGATAAAGAATTTGGATCAAGCTCAAGGATGGTGGACATGGGGGAGGAGCAGGAGTAGATTACAATATGTTGTAATGGAACTAGAGGCGTCGTAGATCACCCGGGTAGGATAGGGTAGATAGGCGACATGTGACAGCATGAAAACAGCCAAAGTAACAAAGAAAATGGAGAAGCAAGGATATCAACAAGAGGAATGTCACAGATCGGCTCTTTCTTACTGAAATCAAACACATTTTGAAATAAGGGAGGGGGACTTTTTGAAGGAAAAAGTGTGACAAATGAAGCTAAAAGTGACACCAAAGAGGGATGATGTCCTTTTGTCCTAGATGAAGGTGCAGAATAATGATTGGACCCTGAAAAGAAACAAATGAGAGCAGACATTTCAGAGGATTTATTTTTTTTTAAGAAAAAAGCTTCATAAAAACAGAGTACCACTGAGAAATATCATAAAGAGCCTTGTCCTGTTTGCTTGTCTGTGTGCGTCCCTTTGCCGCTCAGACTGCTGCTGCCATACATGAAGCATAGCATCAAAGAATAATATTTCTGCCTTTCATTACAAAACATTAAAATGTATGACCTTAGCAGCGGCCTGAGTGACATACAGAGACACAAGAAACACAGAGACAGATGAGCTTTGATATCGCAGCAGGATAGTCGTGTTTTCAATTTACATCAGAATTTATGGAAAAAAATATAACATCTTACGAGCAGACTTTGAAATAATTGCTACACCGTGCTGCTGAGGACGGTGCTCTCTGTTGGTGTCGTCGTACGTCAGGCAGCATCTCATATTCTTCTGTAGCACACTTGGCTTGGGATAACAGATCTTGTGTAAAAATGATTTTTAAGTACCTAAATTAGATTTTTAATGAATTAAACTTATTATTCGCATTGTTTCTATGGCTTATTGACAAAAAACATTCGTTTGGCTGATGTTCATGCTCTGGGCACTAATGCTTTGCACTGCAGTTATTATATGTATACATATTTTATGTCTTTCTATTTTTACGATCAGATATTATCATTTCAATTTAAACTTCTCACTATAGCCTTAATGGGAATACATCTAATGCATATTTACTGTGTATGTACAGCAGCTGATGCTATTCTACTGTGGTATTGGCATAGTTTCAGTTCAGTGTGAACGGCAGCATTAAAGTTGTGCACAATTCTTCGTCCAGAATTGAATTTTTTTAAGCAAATCCATAATCAAGAAACCATCACAGCTGTAAATCATTGTGAACAGGATAATGACTGTATTGTTGTTTGTTATTGATTTTTTATGACTTTAAATCAATGTTTTCAAGCTTTGGAATGTTGTTGGTAAGAAAAGCCAGAAGGGGGCAGTGTTGTGTAAAGAAAGAAGTTTGAGCAGCAGACGAACAGTGTGTTGTTTACTGTACATGGCTGTAATGGATGGGACTGAAACAGTTTATATAATACATTTCAACAATCCTATTGTGTTTTGGGTTTATTTACTCTCTTTCCATCTCTTTTAGTGTGACTGACAAGTCCAGAGTTTTACACTGGAAAACAAAGAATCGCAAAATGGCCTTCAGAACTCTAAATAAGCCAACAGAAATCATTTAGAGTTGCAAGAATTGTCAACTGAACTATCAGCTTTATAACAACATAAAGCTGATAGTTCACACCCTGCACAACAGTCCGTTATTGTTGTGCAGGGTGAAGGTGAATTTTTTTAAGCATCCTTCTAGGTTACCTCTGTTGTAGTGCAGAATCCACGGCCTGCATATTTTCAGTGGAATCTGGGTCATTTTCAAGACTTGATCTCTGTTTTGTTATTGATTACTTTTTAGGGGCTTTTTATTCAAGTCTGTAAAAAAAATGCTTTCATAAAGCTCCACAAGACAATAATTTCAGAATGTCAAATCAATGCATCTCATGTGAAAGACATTCTTTATACTGACAAACCCACTGAGACGTATCACCTGATATAGTTTTAGTTTTATAGGCTGTAACTTTCTCCTGTTTTGAGTGAAGAAACTCTGTTGAACCCATACACAATCATCGTATAATAGTTAGCTGGTAAGCTGCTGGAATATATCGCTCTCATCGACGATAGAAATATCACAGTGGGATAAGAGTGGTGCAAGAACTTTGTAAGTCTTTTTCCTCTAAAATGAAAAGTGGATCCAAATCATGCTAGCTAAGTGAGTCCAACAGCATAACAGAGACACAACATCCCATCAGTGCAGGATCAAGGGTTCAGATATTTCCTTCAGTCTGTTACGCCTCTGTGTGCTTTACCAGCTGGCGGTAACCATCGTTGTGGCTGAAATCACTCAATATCATCTGAATTCTGAGTGTGTAAATCCACTTTGACACCGTGTTCCAATCATAATCTCACAGAGCAATTCCTTGTAGTTTACGGAAAATGCAGCCTCCTATGAATAAAAGGGGCTCATTCTGCATAAAGAAAAATTTGTAGAAACACATCTATAAGTAAATGCTAACGAGATTATGTTTTTACCTGTATTTCTAGCTTATAATACAATAAATCCTCATCATATGTCAGATCCCACAGTGGAATAATGTTTGTCTGTATCTTACTTTACTAGAAAGTGTTGATGTTTATATGTGGCCTGTCAAGAAAACACATTCCCCTGGCAGTAGACTCTTTTTGATGCATGTCATTTTATCGGTGCATATATGGTTATGGCTTTAGAAAGCATCTCCAGTACTTTCATAGCAGCAGTTTGGTTTGAAACTGCAGCTGGTTTGAAACAGAGAAGGTCAGAGAAGCAAAAGGGATTCAAAAGCTACAAAAAGTGATTTTACCTGTGTGTGATCAGTAATGACCCATCCAAATAACGAAGAATCAATTTATAAGAAATGTATGAATGCGTGGTAGGCTAGATGCACAATTATAGATCACGGGTAGAAGTAAAATAAAATATAAGCCGATGTCTTAACCCAGCCATAAAGGAAGAAAATGAACAAAAAGGGAGGCTTAGACGTATGATTTAAATGTCTCCGCGTTTAAAATGAGCCCTTTCATTGTTTCTGCAGGCTTGGAACGAAAAGATCACTGAAAATGCACAAAACAGTTTCCCCGGTGAAGTGCCTGTGAGCAAAAACACTCTTTGATAACACAAACTGTGTATACAAGCCTGCATTGGCGTGTAGGAGTGAAAGGGGCACATCATCCTGCACTGTGCCGAGCTCGCCACAGATCGCAGGTCCTCAGCTGTAGCCTACAGTGTGATGTAACAGGAAGTAGTGGGTTGCCTTCCAACGTCAACCTGACAGCCGTCTGAGCTGCGCTCATTGAGCGCCGGAGGTCCACCGTGTCCAGTTCTCTGCGCTGAAGCCGAGGAGGAAAAGACGCTTTGGGGGACTGCTCTGAGAGTTTATTGCGGTTCCTGCCCCTGCGCTCCGGGTGGATTTTACTCTGTGGTAGGACGTGCTACAGTGGAGTGTGAATTGCGGTCTACGCGCTGTCTTTTCCATGTTTTGTAGGCAATTTGAGCCGCAGTCACGTCGAATGCAGTTAGCGCAGAGGTGACAGGGCATTCTGTTGCTTTATCCAGGGCATTTCGACTGTATGTGCACTGAGGGAGCCGGGGAACATGCACTTATAGAATGGCTGAGCCCACTCTGAACGATGAGCATCCGCTTGAGCCGCATTGCCCCTCTGTCAGGAGCTGAATGTAAGAAATGTCGAGTTGTAGGAAGAAAATAAAGACACGGCTTTGTTTGTGCGCTTTGGACACCGTTAGACCAACAAAGCGCGTTGTGCGTGATTATTTCTATCAAATTCATATATTAGTTCCATCTAATGAGACATTCGCGCTCACCCCTGTCCCGTTTTCAGGTGGTTTTAGGATCTTTTCACACGCGCAGAAATGATAACACTGTTGGTAAATGAATTCAGAGGTTACATTTTAAGATGCATGCATGGCCGATTTAGATTTGACATGTAATCTATACATCTACAAATGACTCATACCTCATAGGAAGGGATAAGACGCAGTCAGGCGTTTGTTTTGTTTTTTAAATTAATTAAACGGAATAAGAAAAAGACTCGGCTCCATTCAGCACCGAGGCTTTGATGTAAGCGACGGCCGCTGGTTGCTAAATCATCTGCATGGTTACATAAGGGGCAGATTTGGACATGTTGGAAGTTTGTGGGCTGGACAGTGAAAGGGATCATGATGATGATGAATGATGGTTGTGATGATGGTGGTGTGTAGGAGGAGGATGTGATGACGATGGCCACAATTGGCGGACTATATTCTGCTGAGGAAAGATGCATTCGAGTCATTACAAGGGAGGTGACAGAGCAGAGGTAACTCCCAATCTGAAGCTGATTGGGTTTTTAACAGATGAGTTTCTAGATATGTTTGAACTCCGTGGGTTTTGCAATGTCGAGGTGGAGTATTCTCAGATGACTTCTTGTGTTTATTAAATGTTGTTTATCCTAATTTAGCACTTTTGTTATGGTGATTGGGAAATATCAGCAGTTGAATTCATTCAAAAGGTTGAGCCAAAAGATTTTATGTGCCGATTTTATTTGCTGCTCTGCTTTTAAACGTGCAATTTCAACTCATGCCTTGCCAAAACTAAAATAATTCATTTAAATATTAAGTAAGTTGCTTTGGTCACTTCAGATCATTTAAAATGTGATAAGTTTAAGATGCAGAAAAATTCGTTTCAAAGCACATGTTTGGCCCAAAGTTAACTTCTTCTTCTTGGAATAAACACATTTTCAGATCTCATTTCAAGATGAACACTGATTAATATTTCATAAAAGGGCTAACATAAACATCAGAAACAGACATTTCTAATTAAAAATGACTAAAAAGTGCTTTAACTTTGGATTATTTTGTATAAAACCAGCAAAAAAGCTGATTTTTTTCAGGGCTTTAACTTTGAAGGTGCTTCTTTTACTAGTTGCATGTCAGAAATCACTTTATCTAAAGTGTATTAACATTATTTAACAGTTTTCAAGAAAAATCAGAGAAATATTAAGCAGAAATATAGCAGCACTAGTTAATTTCTGCTTTGCTGTCTCTGTGATGATCTCACAGATGTTCAGATTTGTCACGCACACCTCAAAAACAAAAACAGCCCCATTACTCCAGTGCTCCACCCTGAATGTCACACCTAGTCAAATGTTAAATGTTCAAGTTTACATTATATGCACATGTTTATTCTCAAGTATAGGAAAGGTAAAATAACGTTGAGAAATGCCAGAAAGTAAGCCTAGTAAAACAGTGGATCTGCGTTCCTGCCCATGCATGTCGGCCGTCAAGACACTTTGGACAGTGAACGTATCGAAGCTGCCAGTTGGCAGGGCTGTCTGATGAGTCTTTGAGGCCATTTCGCTCTGACATCTTCCAGCGGCTCGGGCCTACACCAAATTCATGAGCCGATTGTGCAATGGGAGTGTCGTGCAGCTCATCACATTTAACCCATGCTGAGTGTTTACTGCCCACGTCTAGAAAGCAACTATTAAATGTGGGTGAGACAAAGAACTTGGCAGCAAAGCTCCCCAAACCTTTGCAGTTTTCATGATATAGCAGAGCTTCTCCTACAGCCATGGCATTTAGAAAGCTGTGCCAGTGGCAGCTCATTTGCAGTGTAGCCGATTCATATGGAGAACCGTGAAAAAGAAATTTCTTCAGGCCTTAGAAGAAGCTCTCATGTGGCTTTTTGTAGTGATAATACGTGTGTTGAAACTGGAGCTTTTTGTGAAGAATTTATCCTGTAAACTCCAGGCGACCTTCTCTGGTGAGTGCAAAGGCCATCCGATTCACAGTCACAAGCGTAATGATGATTCTCGTAAAACGTCGCCCCTCATAAATCACCAGGACACAGCTCCTGATCGATTCCCCTGTTATCTTCCTCATCTTGTCGGGGACACTGCAGACCTCTCAGACCTCTATAAAAACCTTCATGACCACAGGTTTCTTGCAGCACCTTTCACTGTCTGTCAGATGTATTTAAATTGATTCCCTATCATGTTTCAAACTGAGTCACCACCTCTTTTATATATTATATATTTTTTTCCCTGCTCACTCAAGACTGAAGCTATCGCATTACACAAAAGCACAGTGATGTACATATGCAGCACTCCCCTCAGCTTCTGGATTCAGTTTCAGGGATATGAAACCTTTTGAGGTAATTTTTCCACTCATACATTATGAAGGGTAAATGTATTTCTCATCTCCAGTTTAAATTGAGGTGCCTGATGGGACGTGTCGCAGCTTCAGGACGGCTTGGTTGCTGTGTAGTGATTGGCATTTTGAACTGCAGCGCTCTGTGAAGGATAAAAGGAAAAGGCTGCATGGTTTCTAAGGGTTTTCCATGTTTGTGGGAGCTAAACAAACTGAGTGATACAAGCTTCTTGATTTAGTGTGTGGGAGGGGGCTTCTGGCATACAGAATAGAGGAAATGGTTCCTGGGAAGAGCTGCATGTTTGTCTTCCAAAGGTGAACCTGGAGTACTAGCAGATGAGTATAGAGCAACTTTTTTTTTTCGCCACATAAACTCATAATAAATTCTTGGGGCTTTGATGGAAGATCATTAATAAATAATCTGTTACATTAAGTGCAGAGATTTCTTGTTTGAGAGAGCTTGTTTCCAACCACTTTACACTGCTTCACATTCCTCTTCCACCCTGCGTTTTCTGCAGCTCTGAGCAAATGTCTGCAGCAGCCATTTCTGTTGGATTTCCAATTAGCTAACTTACTCTAGCGTGAAAATACGACTATTATTACTGTCAAGCCCAGGCTGCCGTAAGCTGTGCCAAAAATCTCTCCATATTATTGTAGTTAATTGGTTTTCAAGGTTAATAAAAGTCTCAAATTGCTTGTTTCCCCATTGAAAAACACAATATGTTATTGTCTGTAGTCTGTGTAATGGTCAATATCATAATGTTGCTTTGGTTAAACATATAGGGAACTATAGCCACTGGAAAAAAGCTCCGTTTGCTGTAAGGGATTATTTGTGCATTGCAATACCATGAGTGGCCACTAGGAAAGATTAGCAGGAAGGATGACTAGAAGCAACTAAGGGTATAAATATTAAATATTTTGTTTCCAAAGAGTCAGAATTTTGTATTTTTTTTTAAGTGATCTGGAGCAATGGTTGGCTTAAGACCTATGGTCTAAATATACTGACTAGCCAATCTCAAAGCTAGATTTGGAGGTGTAGTACTGACATGACCCTCCTCCTTGGAGCTAGGATTCAAAATGTATTATAGAGCCTCTTAGCAGCTCACAATTATTAACACCTCAGGACAGGAAAATACCTTATAAAAGCCTTAGGATGTGCACTGACAACCATAAAACTGCCCCAAATATCGCAAATGTGTCTGAGCTTTCTTTTTTGTGGCAATGAAAGGAAGTGCTGTAACATTTTAACTGTATATTTTTGTCATTAACATTAGAACAAAAAAGAAATCTGAGCACTCTAACGTTTTATTTTGTAAAAAGTTACACCCAATACTACTAGTGACACAGTATCCATGTAACCATCAGACATGCATGAGACTGATGCTCTGCGTAGCGTTGAAGCCAGACAGAGCCACAGACCGTATAATGCACTAGATTTCCTGCTAATGCTGCTTTACTGTCCAGCTTACAGACAGGATCTTGTCTTGCTCTGGATCCTTATCTTGCTGACCTCTCTAGTGACTAAGCAGACATCTACTGGGGAGGTCTGCATGCTAGCTACTCCTCAGCCTTACCAAACAAACACTGTCTGCCTTCATTTTGTAGCGTGCAATAATTCTTTTACTTGTTAATTTTTTGTGGTTTGAATAGTTTGTCTTATTTTCTCCGATTAACGCTTAGTTTTCTCAATCTTTTTACAGGTAAAAGTTTTTTTTACTGATAACAAGCGGTCCGTTATAAATTTAAAATAACTTTGCACCCTTTGTGACAGCAATAAGGGACAATGTCATGTGAAGCTAACTGTAAATGACCATTATTCAGATATTCTCCACAAAAACAAATATATTTATTGAAGCTCTCATGTGTGGGCTAAGCTGTTAAAATGTTTTCGTTACACAAACCCAAGGCACACAGAGAAACTTGAACCGCTTAGTAGTGACGTAAATAGCACTTTCAGAGGTCAAGTCTAGGGCCCACAGCAAGCATACAGAGGATATTCCTTGGCTTCCTTTGGGCTGTTAATTTTGAGCTCCAGTGTTATTTTTGTCGTGGCACTACCCACAGGGAACCACTCATACAGGTCCCTGAGCAGCCTGTGCTCACTGTTGACTGTTGTTAAATGCTAAAAGAGGTTTTCAGCCAGAGATTAAATAATGCATCACAGAACAACCTTACTGCTTTTCTGCATTCAGTGTGTGTGTGTGTGTGTGTCTGTGTGTGTGTGTGTCTGTGTGGGGAGTGTTATGTGCTACCTCTGGAATTCAAGAATTTATTTTC